GTACAGAATGATTGGAAAGTTGTCATTTCTATAATCTTTTTTGAATAACCAGGAAGAAGACGATCCTAAATTGTCTAATAGAATGGAATGGAATGGAATGGAATGGAATAGACTAGACTAGACTAGACTAGAATATAGACCAGACCAGAGTAGAGTAGAATAGAATAGAATAGAATAGAATAGAATAGAATAGAATAGACAATATGGAAGAGAGAATAGAATAGACAATATGGAATAGAGTAGAGTAGAGTAGAATAGAATAGAATAGAATAATAGAATAGAATAGAATAGAATTTAATTATGTTCAATTTGTAACAATGAAAATACATCCTGCATGTCAGATATTTACATTATGATTCATAACTAGCAAAATTACAGTTATGAAGTAGCAACGAAAATAATTTTATGGTTGGGGGGTCACCACAACATGAGGAACTGTATTAAAGGGTTGCGGCATTAGGAAGGTTGAGAACCACTGCTCTAGAAAGAGTACAGAGAAGAGCAACAAAGATGATTAGGGGACTGGAGGCTAAAACATATAGGGCATGGTTGCTGGAATTGGGTATGTCTAGTTTAATGAAGAAAAGGATGAGGGGGGACATGATAGCAGTATTCCAATATCTCAGGGGCTGCCACAAAGAAGAGGGAGTCAAGCTATTCTCCAAAGCACCTGAAGACAGGACAAGAAGCAACAGATGGAAACTTATCAAGGAGAGAAGCAACCTAGAACTAAGGAGAAACTTCCTGACAGTTAGAACAATTAACCAGTGGAACAACCTGCCTACAGAAGCGGTGAATGCTCCAACACTGGAAGTTTTTAAGAAGAGACTGGGCAGCCATTTGTCTGAAATGGTATAGGGTTTCCTGCCTGAGTAGGGGTTGGACTTGATGAACTCCAAGGTCCGTTGCAACATTATTATTATTATTTTCATACTTCCATCGTGGTCATCTTCCTTGTACTTTACACACACATTGCATAACCTCTGACTAAGGTTGTAATAAAAAGATTGTAGGAATGTTCTATCATCTCTGATGGGAATTTGATTATTATCTTTCAACATTTTGGAGGGATGTCTTTAACAAAATGACACTTATAAACAAAGACAGGGTACTTACCAAGTTGAGACCTTCTGTATTTGATAGAAGGAGTAAAAAGTTATAAAACAAGAGTGTTATTGCCTGACTGCAGTAAAGTTAATCATTTCTCACCAGTGGCAATATTTGGATAATTTCTTACTCAAAAATTGGTTTGATAAGACGTCAATAGATCTGCTTGAGAATGTCTTTAATGAAATTTGTGTGTGTGTGTGTGTGTGTGTGTGTGAGAGAGAGAGAGAGAGAGAGAGAGAGAGAGCATTATTTTATTGGGACTATCAGGATTGTATCTGTTTTATACAAGATGAAATGAATAATCCTTTAGGTTATGGAAAATTTAAAGGGCCTATTTAATGTAGGAATGACTTGTATAATACTATTTTTTTAGAATAAAAAATGCTTTATGCCACAAAGATGAGGGAATCAAGCTATTCTCCAAAGCACCTGAAGGCAGGACAAGAAGCAATGGATGGAAACTAATCAAGAAGAGAAGCAACCTAGAACTTAAGGAGAAATTTCCTGATAGTTAGAACAATTAACCAGTGGAACAACCTGCCTCCAGAAGCAGTGAATGCTCCAACACTGGAAGTTTTCAAGAAGAGATTAGACAACCATTTATCAGAAAAGGTATAGGGTTTTCTGCCAGAGCAGGGAGTTGGACTAGATGATTTCCAAGGTCCCTTCCAATCCTGTTATTCTGTTGTTATTGAGTTATACCTATTAAATTCCAAACTGCAATCTTCCGTATGCCATATAATGACAAGATGAGTCCAATAAATGTTGAATTCTGCTGCCCAGTTTTATATGTCAACAATTTATATAAATATTTTTTTTTAATTAGGGCACCAGGGTAGAAAACGGGGAACTGTCAGTTCTAGTCCTACCTTACCTAGAAAACTGACTACCATAAATGCCGGCGTATAAGGCGACTTCCGCGAGCGCTGAAATCGGCGCCAAAGACAGGGGTCGTCTTATATGCCGAGTCGTCTTATACGCCGGAAATACTGGTAGTTTCCGGCGTATAAGACAACGTTTTAGGAATGCGGCCCGGCTATAAAGACGGGGGTCGTCTTATATGCCGGGTCGCCTTGTACGCCGGCATTTACGGTAGATGACTTTATGGCAGTCACTCTCTCAGCCCAACTCACAGAGTTGTTATGAGGAAAATAGGAGGGAGGGAAATATGTTGGATATGTTTGCCTCCTCGAGTTATTTGTAAAAATTATAAAAGAAGGATATAAATAAAATAATAAAATAAAAATAAATTAGGTTACCAAGCTATTCATTTCTGTCCTCAAACAAACTGAGTAAACATTCATCATCACTTAGTCTATTCCAGTCTACATTCTGAAATAAATCATGCTACAGTTATTTTTCTTGCATAGATGACTAAAGCCTTCACAGAAAGAATCCTTGGCAACCTTTTGACTCAGCAGGCATTGAATGAGGTTCTTTCTGAGTCAGAGTCTTTCTTCATCCTCCACAGTCTCCTGATTCATGTAATTCATCTCCTAGTGGGATGCTCAGATAGATTGTTTCTATTTTCATTTTGGCTAAAATCATACCTTTCTTGACTTAAATGTTATGCACTTTCCTTTTCCCTGAGCAATCACACTTTCCAGGTGAGAACTTTAGGTTAATCAAACTCAGGAGTGTCAGTGAATACAAGGAACTTTTATTCTGTTACATTTTATGACATTTTTGTCCTTGCTATAAGAAAAACTTGTTTTCTCTTGTTTTGCTTTTTCCTTTCACTGCCGGGCTAATTATATTTCTGTACTTACTCTTTTAGTAAAGAACAAGCCTACCTTCTATTTTTTCCTCCTCCTCCTCCTCCCTTTACCCTTGAGTCTGCCTTCCTGCTTTTCTGTTGTTATTCTAAAAAATCCTTGACATTACTGGATCCTTCCCCTACTACTTAGAAAAGATTACCTCTCCCAGGTAGAGCTCAATATCCTTGACCTTTACCTGAATATATGCATTGTTGAATTTCTTCCTATTTATACTAGATAGGGCTTGTTAAGTGCTTATAAATGAGAAGTACTGTGAATGGTCCTGCCTAGCACCCTCCTTAACTGCTGCTAATAGCTCAATATCCTGACCACTAAAGCCCATCAAGATGATCCCTCTCCCATTGTTTTATAATAATCCTCTTTATGGTTTGCACTGTTCTATTGACTGAATCTCCTTTGTATATAAAAGAAATGTACAGGAAGTCCTTGACCTAATATCAGAATTAGCCTGGAATTTTGGTTGTAAGTAGTCGCGTTCATTAAGTGACTGCCTTACTAAATGACCACAATCTGAGCTCTCCCTTTTGTGATCATTAAGAGACTGCACAGGGATGTTTGGGGGGGGGGAAAGGGGAGGCCCTGAGAGGCCTGGCGCTCACCAGCATGTTAAAGTTTGCCATAGGCTGGGAGGCATCAGCCAACTACGCCCAATGGCGCACAGACCCTATCACTGCCTCACCACACCCTGATCCATTTTCCTTTCTGTTTCCTTGTTCAATCCTGCATGTGGGCCCTATTCTCGTGATTATTTGGAAGGCTCCTTCTTCAAATCGCACAATTTTGATAAAAGACCTTCCCAACAATCATGAGGCCAACAGCATTTGCTAGTGTTTTCTCCTCGAGAGAGGAAGACGCCAGACAAACCAGCATTCTGAAAGGCTCTGAGTCTCAGGCTTCTGCAACGCTGAGCCTCAGCCTTTCAAAATGCCAGCTTTGCTACAATTTTCAATAGATTTGAAATCTGTTCTTCCAGTGCACAATCTCAGGTGAACCCCAAAATGTGGTCCTATGACCGGGGGAGGGCAGCGCAACATTTTTCAATGCCTAGAAGTGCTTTATGGTCAATTTTGACTATGGAAAGTAGTAAAACAGCTGGTCATAAGTCAAGGGCTACCTTTATTTAAAATTTTATCAACACATTTTAAAGAAGACACGGTTGTAACATGGTAGTGTGAAACAAGGATATATTGCATTCCTCCTAATTCCAAAATTTTAAAACACAGAATCATTGCCTTTAGTCCTGCCTGCATGTACTAGCAGTTGATCATTGGAACAGAATAGAATGAAGAGTGATATATGAAATGTCAAATTGAATAATCATAATCAAATGCAAAACATTAATGATAAAGATAGACCTCCATAATTGGATATGTTTAGATTAATTATGAAATGCATTGAGTCATGCATATCACTCTGTTTTGGTGGATGCCATTTCAACTGTTGGAGACTGAGACTAATGATATTACAATTTTTTCAAAAATATGGTAGTTAGGTTCAAGAGATTTCATGGCCTAGCAAACATTGCTTGAATTTATGTGTCTCATCAATCTTCCATATAGGTATCTTTGACTTATGACTGGTTGCTTAACAACCATTCAAAGTTATGATGGAATTAAAAAAAAATTACTTAAAGTTACTGTCTTCGAAGTTATGACTACCGCTCAGTTCTCACAGTCATCGCATTTTGGGTGCTTGGCAAACAGCTCCCATATACAATTGGTTGCAGCATCCCACAGTCAAGTGATCACCTTTGTGATGCTTTTTGTTTTTTTCTGGCAAAAAACGCACTTTGAATAAGCTGGAATTGGGCTTACAACCATGTGATTTGCTTAACGACCACATGAGTCTCTTAACAGCTATTGTAAAAACGGTTGTAAAATTGAATCCGGTCATGTGGTCATATGATTGTAACAACTTACGACAAAAATTCTGGGTTCAATTGTGGTCATAAAACAAGGACTACCTGTATGCTTCTAAAGCACTTTGAGCTGTACATATTATATGTTCTTCACATCATCAGGTGCTAGGCACATTCATTGTATTGAATATTTTCTCTCCTATGGCTAAATAGGCATGTGTTACTTTGTGCACTTTGTTTCCTCTCTTTCACAGGCATCCATACTACCAGCTAGTCTGCTACTTTCTGTCAACAACTGTTACTTCCATTTGTGTTGTCATGTTGTCAGAGTCACGCTGGAGGAGTCTCCGTCATACCTTGCTGGTGCTCTTCTCAGCTACCCTTCTCATTGGCATAACCATGCTGGCCATCTCCTCTGAAATCAATCCCATTGGAGTTTTCTTTCTTGTGGCAGGGGGCTTGTGTTTGGTTGGCTACCTCATTAGTGTGGCAGTTGAACAATGCCTGAAGAATCAGAATGCAGGAGAAGAGACCCAGGCAGCCCCAAGAAGACAAAATCACGATGGGTAAGACCACATAATTGTGCTAATTTCCACATATCTTAATCACAGGAAATAAGCATCCATTTCTGACAGCAGTTTAAGGGAAACTGACTGAGACCAAGGAGTTTTCTAGTTTAGCATCTTAATTCCAGTGACGAGTGCTCAAGAGTTTTGGGAAATCTATAAGCAAGACATGAAGATAGTAACCCTTCACTGTTGCGTATTTGCAGCATCTAGAACTCAGACAGTATTAGACCAACAATTGCAGAGCAGAATATTGCCAGATTGAAAAGCCATGTTTCTTCATATACTCAATGAGGGCTGACATGCAAGTATGCATTTATTTATTTATTCATTCATTCATTCTGTAATAAAATCAGACTCAAGGCAGCTAGCCTTTGATGCTGCTATAGAGTTTAATTTGTATTACCACTCTCTGCCTTTCTCCAGATGGATTGAGATTGCAGTTCCTAGAACTCTAAGGCAACTTGATAGAGAACCGTCTGACAGGGAATTCTGTTCTGTAATCCCAACACATCTGAAAGCTGATCCATTGGATAAGATTGAACTTCAAGTAGTCCCCGACTTACAACAATTTGTTTAGTGACTGTTCAAAGTTACAATGGCCCTGAAAAAAATGACTGATGACTGTCATTAGTTCCACTTGTGACAGTTGCAGCATCCCTGTGGTCACATGATCAAAATGTGGACGCTTGGCAACTGACTCATATTTATGACCATTGCAGCGTCCCGGGGTCATGTGATCACATTTTGCAACCTTCTGACAAGCAAAGTCAGTGGAGGAAGCTGGATTCAGTTAACCATGTTACTAACTTAACAACTGCAGTGATTCACTTAACAGCCGTGGCAAGAAAGGTTGTAAAATGGGCAAAGCTGTTTTGATCATTGATCAAAACATTATCTTTTTTAGTAACGTCCATCTGATGTGCTATGATAGTCTGGGGAAGCAGTGTGGTAGCCAGAACTAGAGGTTTCTCAGTTGTAGCAGCTGAGTCAGGGAACTCTTCCAAGGGGAAGGCAAGTAGACTCCCTGGCTGTGTTTTAAATGATTATCCAGCAAAGTAGGTGTGCTTCAGGTCCTTTCTGTAGAAAACAATGTCAGCTAGTGGAATTGGAAAGCACACTTTCTCTGTTACAGTGATTACTCTTTGGAACAGCATAGTCTCTGAGATTTGGATGGTTCTGACTGTGTTGGCTTTCCATAAGGTTTGAAAACCTATTTTTCCCCCTGGATTTGGGGCCAGAATGTGGGATAAGCTTTTCTGTAATGTTTTTGGATTAGACTAAGCTGTGATGTGGTCTCAGTTATGCTCTACTAAAGTGCATCTACCATATTTTCCGGTGTATAAGATGACTTTCTAAAGTGTGGAAATCGGCGCCGAAGTCGGGGGTCGTCTTATACACTGGAAATTACGGTAGCTTCCAGCGTATAAGATGACTTTCTAGGCATGGAAATTGGCGCTGAAGTTGGGGGTCGTCTTATACGCCGAGTCGGCTTATACGCCGGAAAATACGGTAAGCATTTTGTTCGTTATGCTTTTGTCCATATGTAAACCACTTAGTCGCCATTCATGAGTTGGGTGGTCATACTCAATCATTCAATCAATCAGAGACATGGCTGTTAACCCAGGCATTTGTAGAACAACAATTTGTTCCATTACAGATTGCCTTTTAGGTTGCTCAATTTACTGTATTCCTTTCCTTTTTTAAAGTGAAACTTGTTAATTGTTGTTTTTATTGCATTTAAAAATGGTTGGTTTAATTATTTTCTTTTTCACTTAAGATTTTCTTGGGAACTGCTCTAGGCTTATCGGGGAGAGTTGTACTGAAATAAAAGTAATAATAATTATAATCATTGTGTTACATGCCCGATAGTGCATGAAAGAGATGATAATCTACCGGAAGAATACTAGATTCCTGTCAGGGCTTATTTATTTCAGTGATAGTTCTGAAGTTGAAATGTATAGCGTAATTTACAGAAAAGGAGAAGAATTTTATATTCTTGTAGGTTAATAATTAAATGGGATATAGAATGCAATTATGGGGATTAAGTAAAAATTAAACCCACTTGGTTGAAATGATTTAGAATTCTGCTTGTATCTCATTAAAAAAATAGGTAACTGTTCCTCACGGAACTAGGAAGCAGTTATTTTGAACTTTCCCCCCATTTTTTTTTTATGCAGAGACAATGCAACCTATGAAGCACCAACGTATGAGGAAGTGGTGGCTACTGGCTACTTGTCAGATTCAGCGGCCACAATTTGGACCATCACATCTAGTCCTGGAACAACCCAAGTAGAACCCCCTCCATATAGCGTGGTTATTGAGCCCCCTCCCCGCGGAGAGACTGTGGTGGAGACATTGAGTGTCTCAGTGGCACCAGGTGCACGGCGGGCCTCCGAAGCAGATCTGCACTCCAGGCTGCGCCTCCGACTAGTCCTACCCCCAAGGCTAAAACGCTTTGTCTCAGATACTCATGAACTCAAAGGGACTGAAGAGCGTCTGGAACGCCTGGAGCCTCTCACCCCACCTCCTGCATATGAGAATGTGACTGGTGATGAAGTCTTTGAAGGACACTTTCAACCTTCAAAACCTTGACTGAAAGGCTGGAGATTGATAAACAGTATTACCACAGGACTTCTTCTGAACCCATTATCAGCTGGCTGCTGTAGCCTGTGTTACATTTGAAACAAAGTTAGTTTTGGGAGGGCTTGGCTCTCTTTTATGGAAAATGCATGCATTGTAGACATGCATGGTAAGGACTCCTTTGCTTCCTTTGGAGTTTCCTCCAGGGAGAGGGGAGAGGTAGCAAGGTTCTTAGACATTTCATCTGATGGTTGTAGGCTCTTAGCATTGAACAACAGCTTAGGCTACCTAGGAAATGGAGAACAAAAGACAGGTTGTCCTATCAGGAGGCAGATTGTAGGCACAGGTTGTTAATCATCCTACCTAGCTCATATAAACAGAAGTCTGGAGAGAAGGAAGAACAAGGCAGGGCAGAGAACCAGTGAAATAAAGATTTTTAAAAAGCAGGAAGTTGCTTTTAATTTTTTTTAACTTAAGTTCCACTGATAAACTAAAGATCTTCCTGGAAAGATTAAAATCAGCCCATACACTGGTGATGAATCATCTTAAAACTGGTTTCTCTTATTTTCTGTGTCACACCTGTCATAATAAGTGTTAGCATTTGTATTTGTCTGTGTTTTTCAGTCAGGAGTGGGCAATTTATCCAAACATTTAGTTCAACATTCTTCTGAATGGAAGCTAACCGTAACAATGAGCATCTTCCCTAAAATCAAGTACGAGCAAGTAGGGGCTCTGTAATGCAGAGAATAACACCCTAAGAATACTATTGAAGTGTCCCCTTTCTCTTATTTATTGAAACTGGGCTTGCTTTACATGAATCAGGATATGTATATGTGGAATATTTCCTGTTATGATGATAATGAATACATATGGATTAGAATCTGTCATGATGAAAATAAGCTTTTATATACAACAGTTCATACAAGCTAGTGCAATATAGTTTCAAAATAATTTAATTAAAATTTTTCAAATCTGTCTTTGGTGAAGGGGGCTAGTAAATCAGATCTCACTAATTTTACCTGAAATAGACACAACATTGTAAGTGGCAACTGCTCTACACAAAGTATGAAATAACGTAAGCCTTGGTGGCAAATTTGAAATTCAAATAATACTAAGGCTGCCATTTAAAGATTTTTTTTTAATAGAGAAATCTGAATAATTTCCAGGTATGTTCGAAAGATTCATGTCTGAAAATTAGCTGCTAAAAGCAGTAGTAATGAGCAATATATGTTCTTTTTATGGCTGCCACATTGATTGTTAAAGTGCAAAAGGATGAATTTTAATATTTTTTAAAAAAATATGCAAAATTGTAAAACTGAATATACAAAATACATTTAATAGCTTGCTAGATTTTAAAAGCATAAATCCAGCACTGCAAAGAATGCTAAAACAAAATAAAATATTTGAATACAGAAAATTTATGGGCTGATCTCTTGCGTCCAGAATAACAAACAATGGAAGATGTTAGTTGAGTAAGTCTTTTCCTTCCAAGCAATGCACTTTTAGGAATCCCTGGAAATAGACCAACTATATGATTCCTGTGTCTATTAGGCTGAGGGGTAGTCACAAAAGAATTGGGCGCTGGAAATGGAAAACAGAACTTTCTATTAAAAGATAATTCTTTCAGGCACACTCATTCCTGGATAGAGGAAGAGGATTCAGCCCTAATCTTCTAGTTTGAATTAATTCTAGAGCGGACAATTGCATATATTCATGATTTTCATGTGCCCCACCGAACTCTCCTGGGTTCTTCTAACTTTTCTTCATGACAGTTATTTTGGGCCATCACACATTCTATATGTTGCCAAAATACAATGGCTTTCAATAGAAGAAAATATATGTTATTGTTGTTAGTTGCGAAGTTGTGTCCGACCCATCGCGACCCCGTGGACAACGATCCTCCAGGCCTTCCTGTCCTCTACCATCTTCTGGAGTCCATTTAAGCTCACGCCTACTGCTTCAGTGACTCTATCCAGCTACCTCATTCTCTGTCATCCCATTCTTCTATTGCCCTCAATCTTTCCCAGCATTAGGCTCTTCTCCAGTGAGTCCTTCCTTCTCATTAAGTGGCCAAAGTACTTGAGTTTCAACTTCAGGATCTGGCTTTCTAAAGAGCAGTCAGGGCTGATCTCCTCTAGGACTAACCGGTTTGATCGCCTTGCAGTCCAAGGGACTCACAGGAGTCTTCTCCAGCACCATAGTTCAAAGGCCTCAGTTCTTTGGTGCTCAGCCTTTCTTATGGTCCAACTTTCACAGCCATACATTGCAACTGGGAAAACAATGGCCTTGATTATGCATATTTTTGTTGGCAGGGTGATATCTCTGCTTTTTGTATGCTGTCTAGATTTGCCATAGCTTTCCTCCCCAGGAGCAAGTGTCTTTTAATTTCTTGGCTGCAGTCCCCATCTGTGGTGTTCTTGGAGCCCAGGAAGATAAAATCTGTCACTAGAGAATATATGTAGCTCAGGGCTGAACTGTGAAGTCCTTGGTGCTCTGAGCTTTCTTACTTCTGAGAACCTATTTGGGGACATTAGCAGAAAGGCGTTCCACCAAGCAGTTTTTGTCAAGTGTTGTGAACATGGCTAAGACTTCATTTATGCTGAAGGCATTTGTGTATATGAAAAATATAGTAGTGGCATTGTTCAAATCCCATTTGTCATTTAATGGAAACACAACAAACAATTCAGGACCATATGTATAGCGTTTCTGAAGTGAGCATACAGCATACACTTTAAAACCTTTCGGACGCAGAAGTATTGTATGTTTTTTTAAAATCTGCAATTACTGTTCACTTGCAAGTTTCAATTGCCACTGCATTTATTTTGCTTTTGGTCCAATTTTCAATCTGCAAGAATTTGAATATTGATTTTCTGTGTTGAAAGTCAGTTCCCCCCCCCCCCAACCCAATGGAATATCAGAAAGATATTCTGTAAAATGGCTTGGATACTGATAGTGCAATAACTCTCCAAAAACAGAATGGCTCCAAAATTTGGGAGGAGAAGCTGAGGAAAAAAATTGATAATAATAATGTATAGTGGCTAGGAGAGCCTTCACATAGCTTCGAATTGTGTACCAGTTGGGGCCATTTCCAGATTGGGAAGCTCTGCTCACAGTCACTCATGCTTGGTCATTTCCCAGATGGAGTATTGTAATGTGCTCTCTATGGAGACTGCCCTTGAAAAGTATCTCTCTATGGAGACTGCCCTTGAAAAGAATGCAGTGGCATAGACAGTTTTGTATATCTCTAGAATGGCACACATTACAGTCTCTACTCCACAAACAGCATTTGATGGCAGCTTGCTTCCAGGTCCAATTCAATTTAAAATCCTTTATGGCACGCTGGTGGTTATTTGAGGGAACACTTCTTCCCCATTACATTTACCCATCCCATCTGATCTGGAAGAAGAGATATGTTGTAGGCTCTGTCTGGTAAAATGCCCTAGAGATGGGCATTTTCCGCCATGGCACACAGCTAATGGAACACCATCTCCCCCCCCCCAATCTCAAGGTCAAGGTGGCTCCATCCCTGTTAACTTTTTGCAAATCCCTCAAGACTTGACTATGTCTCAGACTTGGAGGCCCCCAAGGGAATGGTGAGTAGTTGTAGTTGAGGTGGTGCTCTTCTTGTTAGTATCTGTTGCTCTCCTGGCCTTTTTAAAAAAAATATTGTATTAATTTTTAATTGTTGGGTTTTTTTAAAAAAAAATATTGTGGACCACCCAGTCACATTTTGTGAAATGGATAGTTTTAAAAATATGAATGAATGGATACATTACATTTTTATGGTACCTGGCTCCTGATGACTCATTAAAACATTTACAAAGAGCAATAGAAAAAAACACACAAATATTGAAACAAAATAAAAGAACAAGAGAGGAATAGAGAGGAATGAAAGAAAGAAGGGGGCATCATTCATACTCTCTCTAGGCCTGTGCAAAGACCTTTAAAATTCCAACATGGTGAAAGCTATCTGAATTTTGGGGGGGGACTTAATTCCAGAAGGCAAGTGCTGTTACAGAGAAGATGCATTTTTGGGATCCCAATAGGTGGCATTGTTTAATCGATGGAACCCTGAGTTTGCCAGCCCTACAAGATCAAATTGGTTGGGCAAATACTATGGGAGAAATTCAGAAATGGGCCAGAAGCCCCAGATGGGAAGAGAAAAAAGCAGAAAATTCCCTTGATTCATCTCAGCAAGAGACAAACTTGGTCAGAATGTAGCCAACTTCTCCATACCTAGCTTCTTCTTGTCCCCTTTCTGGTCACCTGACTCAAAGGGCTCTTATTGTGTTATTAAAGTGTTGGAAATCCAGAAGCTGCATTCTGCATGTTTTCCCTATCTTGTTTTTGAAAGAAAAAAAATCACATAGAGACACACATACAGAGTACATATATACTATAAGCAGGGGATTAAGAAGTCTCTCATAGTTTTCACATTCATAATATATAATCTTCCAAGATTTTGCTTTGTCTCGGAGTCCTAGTGACAATCACTTAAATATGAGCCAGCAGTGTGCTGCAGCTGCCAAAAAGGCCAACACAGTTCTGGGCTGCATTAACAGAGGGATAGAATCAAGATCATGTGAAGTGTTAATACCATTTTACAATGCCTTGGTAAGGCCACACTTGGAATACTCCATCCAGTTTTGGTCACCACGATGTAAAAAAGATGCTGAGACTCTAGAACAATGGTTCTCAACCTTTTTAATGCATGACCCCCAATTGGTCTTAAGTCGAGGACTACTCAATTGGTCGTAAGTTGAGGACTATCCAACTGGTCGTAAGTCGAGGACTATCCAACCGGTCGTAAGTCGAGCCTGGGAGCGCCACGCATGCATGGTGCTGCCCCCTGCGCCAGCCGAGGCGTAGCTGGCAAGCGGCAGAGACGGAGCAGGCCGACCACCGGCTGGCCACCAGCTGGCCCAGCCCAAGGGAGGTAAGGCACCCGTCGGGCCCCACGTGTGCCAGCAACCCTCCCTGCGCCCACTGGCCTCCCACCTCCCACCCCTGGCTCTCTTTTACTTACAATTTTAGTAGTTGCTCAGCAGTGAGGGTGGAAACTTCCAGACAGCTTGCTTTTGCTGCAGACAACTTGCAGCACCATTTGCAGAATGGGATTTTTGGCGGACTCAGCAGGGCAGAGACAGCCTGGACAATTCCTATTGGCTTTTGAAAGCCAATAGAATTAGACTCTATTCAAGAGAGTCTATTCTATTGGCTTTCAAAAGCCAATAGAATAAAAGGGAGTAGCACAGCTAAGGAAAAGGGGGAAAAAATGGCGGACTGCGTTGTTTGGCGATGCCCGTGAAATGGTTGTTGGACCCCAAATGGGGTCGCAACCCACAGGTTGAGAACCACTGCTCTAGAAAGAGTACAGGAAAGAGCAACAAAGATGATTAGGGGACTGGAGGCTAAAACATCTGGGGAACGGCTGCTGGAATTGGGTATGTCTAGTTTAAAGGACGAGGGGAACATGATAGCAGTGTTCCAATATCTCAGGGGCTGCCACAGAGAGGAGGGAGTCAAGCTATTTTCCAAGGCGCCTGAAGGCAGGACAAGAAACAACGGGTGGAAACTAACCAAAGAGAGAAGCAACCTAGAACTAAGGAGAAACTTCCTGTCAGTTAGAACAATTAACCAATGGAACAACCTGCCTCCAGAAGTGGTGAATGCTCCAACACTGGAAGTTTTAAAGAAGAAACTGGACAGCCATTTGTCCGAAATGGTATAGGGCAATGGTTCTCAACCTGTGGGTCGGGACCCCATTTGGGGTCGAACGACCATTTCACGGGGGTCGCCAAACAACGCAGTCCGCCATTTTTTCCCCCTGTTCCTTAGCTGTGCTACTCCCTTTTATTCTATTGGCTTTTGAAAGCCAATAGAATAGACTCTCTTGAATAGAGTCTAATTCTATTGGCTTTCAAAAGCCAATAGGAATTGTCCAGGCTGCCTCTGCCCGCTGAGCCCACCAAAAGTCCCATTCTGCAAACGGTGCTGCACCAGTTGAGTAGTCCTCGACTTACGACCGGTTGAGTAGTCCTCGACTTACAAACGGTTGGGGGTTGCGGCATTAAAAAGGTTGAGAACCACTGATGTAGGCAATGTCTGAGGGCCCATAGCTGCAAGGCATAAGATCTCACCTCTTAAAGCCCTCTTAACCCAAAAGTGGCTCAGAAAATTTCAGCCCCATAGATTCTAGACCTCTCTCAAAAATTGGCTTGTGAGTATTAATAACCTCCGAGAAAGAACACGATTTTTGTGGGGAAATACAGATGGGAAGATGTCATACCCTGGCCACAGACTGCTGAGAAGGCACCTTGTTGCCTGGGGAAACAGAAAACTTGATGGAAGGTGGCGTGTGATCTAATTCAGGTGGACTTTTCTTATCAAGAATTATTGCCCTGAAGGTCATTAGCATCTTGAGATTTTTAATAACCCCAACACCAGCATGATGTTCTCAAGGCTATACTCAGGCTTTGCCATAGACTCAGGAGGTAACAGATCCAAGGCTCCTAGTCTCCATTTCAACACAGTAGAGTTTCCTGCCTGAGCAGGGGGTTGGACTAGATGACCTCCAAGGTCCCTTCCAACTTTATCATCATTATTATTATCATAAGCTTTAGTTTCATAAATGTTTTGTGAAATTTTGGCTATACAGTAAGCTGTTTAAGGGGCTATAGGTGTACAGTATGCTGTTTAGGGTGACATCATATGTGGACCCTTGGTTCCTGTCCTATTTGATTATGATATAAAAGTCAATATGAAGGAAATGTTTGGGAATCTTTGCAGTTTACCACATACAGTATATTTTTCCCACTGATTAAGATGAGTATTTCAATTATGTATTGATTTATCAAAATTATATGGCTCCCATCCCACAAGAAGTAACAGTGAAAAAAAATGAAAACAAATATGTCAAATACAGTCATATTAAAAAACACAAACTCACAGACAAAAGATAATGATTCTGCCATTTCATTAATACTAGTGGCAGTTCATCCTGCATCCTTTGTAAGATTCTGTGCCATTTCTTATTCCATATGTGTTCTTTGCAAAACACATATGGAAAATTGTAGGGATGATTTTCTGTTCACATTTTCTGTTCATCTTTTCAGATGATCCCTAATTCATTCTATAAAAGAGGGACCAATAAACGTAACAAGGAAAATAACCTGAGTTGACATTATCTGTAATTTGTATCCTTTTATCATCATTTGACTTGTTACATACCTGATCTGAATGCAAACTTATTTCTGGTTGTCTGTCTCAGGCCCCTCATCTAGTAGTTCTGCTATAAATACTTTGATAGGCAAGCCATTTGCTTATCTAGTGTTTGGAAATTATTTATACTAGTGTACCATCATTCTGCGCTACATAACACATTGTTCTTATTCCGTGCCAAAAATATTAGCAGCTTGGAAAGGAGTCCCCCTTTGCCAAATACATTATAAATTATTAAATAAAATAATTGTTTAAAACAATTCATTTAATTAAATCTTTTCCTGTTAATGAAATCACAAAGCTATAATTCAGCTATCCTTTTCTTGTATAAGTTGATTACCAGGGGCTTTTAGAGAAAAACATGATTTTTACAACTCATTAAAGTAATAACAAGTCTCATTCAGGTCAAGGTCAATTCTTGATTTCATGGACAAGTCCAGGGCTTTTTTTCTCATAGAATGCCCAGAACGGAGTTCTGGCACTTTTTTGGGATGGAACCTTGTAGGGTAGGCAAGGCGGGTTGTATGACATTCGGCACCTTTTTTTTTTTTTTTTTTTTTACAAAAAAAGCACTGGACAAGTCCATGTAGTTTGCTTGACAAGAATATGAATATGGCTTGGGGTTGCATTGTTCACCAACCTTTACTGTCAAACCAATCTAATCCACTGGCTTGGATTTTTTTTTCTGGACATAGCCAAAATTGGACTGATGCTGCCGCCTGCTGACTGAATGGTTAAAAGGCTTCCTTATTTATCAGCATCATTTTTCTAGTACTGAATAAGAATAAGTAAGGGAAAGTTTGATAGCTTTCATATAAATAAAGGTAGTCTTTGACTTACAACAGCTCATTTAGTGACAGTTCAAAGTTACAATAGCACTGAAAAATGTGATTTATGGCCCTTTTTCACAGTTACAGTTTTGCAGGATCCTCATGATCATGTGATCAAAATTCAGCTAATTGGTAACTGGTTCATATTTATGACCATTTCTCTGACCCAAGGTCATGTGATCACCTTTTGTGACCTTCTGACAAGCAAAGTCAATGGCCAGATTCACTTAACAACTGGATTACTAACTCATCAACTGCAGCAATTCACCTAACAACTGTGGCAGGAAAAGTCATAAAATGGGGGCAAAATTCAACAAATGTCTCACTTAACAACAGAAATGTTGGGTTCAATCATGGTTGTAAGTCGAGGCCTCCCTGTACAGACAAAAATTACTTATAGAGTTTATTTTACCCTAAACGATGAGTGAAAAGCTGTGCTTACTCAGCATGCTAAATTCTGGATAGTTGAATCATGTTTTACTGAGCTAAATAATTGGTGCAGTTCCTGCAACACATTAAATCATAATTGCTAGTTTACAACAATAGTAATGAAAATGATAAAACCAGCTGTCTGGAGAAGGGTTTAATGCTGGGAAAGGTGCAAAGAAAGAGAAGAAGAGAAAGACCACTAGCAAGGTGGATGGACTCAATGACAGTTGCAACTGGATGCATCATGGGAAGAATGGGAAGGACCAGGTTAGGGACAGATCTTCTATGAAGAAAATCTATTTCTGTGGTTGCTAAGAGTTAACAGATTTCAGGGTACATTATCAATTAGCATGGCAATTCTTGTGCCTATTACTTCAATATATTATGGTTCAGTTAAGGATAGCTAGCAAGCAGGCAGCGTAATATAAATTACAAACAGGAGTAATCACTAACCTGTGAGATTGTCAAATGTCGCTGAACTATATCTCCCAAAATTCTTCACTATTGAACCTGCTAGCTGAGGTTGCTGGGAGTTGTAGTTCAGCGGCATCTGGCGCAACGAGGTTCTCCAGTCTTGCTTTAACTCAGTGAAAAAAAAAAACGTGCAGAAAGGAAGGACCAGCAAGAAAGCCACAGGGCAATCTTTTCATAAGGGACGCTGTTGCAAGAAAGGCAGATTATAATTTCCAAAGATTGGATAAATCAGTGAAAACAACAGCCGCCTGGATGTAGAGCAGGTTAAAAAATCCTGAATTCTACAAACGAACCTTGGGGACCTTTTCTCTTGCCCTGGGGGGAGGGGGGGGCAAATGACAGGACTGCGCGCGCACACCGCCACTCGCGCAAGCGCACAGAGGGCAGGAGGCGAGGTGCGCCCACGTGATAGAGGATGCTCGCTTCTTTTCTTTCCTGCTGGCTAAAGAACGAGGAATTTGAGCGGGAAACCGCTTTTCCGCCTGGGGCCTAGCACGGCTGGCGCCGCTAAAAAGAGGACCGGAACGCGCCGTGTGCATTGCTGGCGGTGGCTTCCGCGGCGCGTTTCTTAGTCAGGGCCCGACGCCAAAGGGACGGGAGTGGAGCAGGTAGAATTAGCTCGAGGGAGCCTGGGGAAGCCTTCCCGCCTGCAGGGCAAGGGATGGAGCAGAAGGACCGCCCGCTCTGGCAGGCTCTGCATTGCAACTGCAGTGCCTTGGGAGGGTGAGGCTGTCTTGGGGGCCGAGAGTTCCCACTTGTGGCTTTGACGTTTTCTCCTGAGCGTGTTGCCTGCTTTCCTCACCCCGCCTGCCCTGATTTCCCCTCGCCTTTTACCTTGTTTGGCGTTCGTTTTCGGCTCGGCTTGCAGAAGTCTGGATTGGGAGTAACACATTAGGTTTCTGAAACTCTTCGTGCTCACTATTCGACTCCGATTTTTGCAGCCGTCCCATCACTTGAGTTGCTCTTCTCCCTCTTAAGTGCAAGCGGAGCGAGAGGAAAGAATGACTAGAAGAGGCTGAAGACAGGATTTGCATGAAGGGATGTTCTAATTTAAAAAAAATCAGCTTTAGAAATTCTGAAGTTACAAAAGATCGGTGGGCTGGTATAGCATTGGAAGTTTCTCTCTCTCTCTCTCTCTCTGCAAAGACCCTTGCACAAAATTAAAGCTCTTTTCTGTTTTTCCTGATTATGGAATAACGGTTATATACATCTGTTGTAGCACTATCATTGATCTCAGTTATTATATGACTGGAGTTTTCCATGCTTTCTGTGTAAAATGAAAATGAATTCAGCAAAATCCGTGTCTGGATTATTTAAAGAGCCATGAATGCATCTTTCGTAAATATTTGCTGTGACATAGCTATCATTGCCTTGCTGGGGTTTATTTTGAAAATCCGCATATAGCTTTTAAATACTATTAACAAGTATACCTTGGTAATGCGTGAGGTATTTATAAAAACTCTTGTATAATTGTTAAGTCCACATAGAATGATGTATCTGCTGAGAGTAATGTTTGTTGACTCTGGTAGTATAGAAATATAATAAATATAGCAGAATACATTTTTTAAAATATACTTTTCAATAGGAATCACCCATTTGGAAAGGGAAAGCTGTGAAGGAAACTTGTTCCAGTTGCCTCAAGTTATTGGTTGTTCTTTGGTGTGTTTTTTACTGTTGTCTGAGGGACTTTGAAGTGAATGCCCCATTAAAAACAATTATAAGTTGTGTTGGTTTGATGCTGACTTAAATCACCAAATATAAATTTTTTTTTGAAAAGAAAGAAGCTATGACCAACATTTCAAGTCACCATTCTATTTTTGAATAGACTTATCCGTCCAACATCAGGTAATAACATATCACAGAGTTTGGTGTGATGTTTCAGTAGCTGATTTGCACTTTACGGTAGCTGTTGGTTTATTGGAGCAGCTAAGTAATTAAGATGAGATAAAAGAATTATCCTTTTAAGAAGTAATAGAAAATGTGTATATTTATAGCTCACAGTCTTTTAGTTGGGTATATTACTGTGCTGCAAGAAGTGGTTTCATATGTGTCCATTGTTTTGACCTTGATCTTACTTGATTGCAGGTCTGCGTAAGTTTGCCAGAGCCTATAATATCTGTATTCTAATGCTTAAAGATAAATTTAAAACTTAAATTGGAAATATCCCTATTATAGCCATTAGTAGGTTTGGAATTATACTCTAGACAAAAATGGTTAAATGTTCAAATACTTGCCTCTTATGTGCTTGTTGTAAGTTATAATATTTCCATTTAGATTTGTTTTGTTTCTAGGATGCTGGGTGCATGTGGCATGCAGAAATGTCACCAAGAAGTGTTGAAAAAGAACCGTATATTCCTAGCAAGTCAGCTAGTGTTGAAGGAATTAATGGAACATCTTATAGAAAAGGATATTATCACGGAAACAATGATGGAGATGATACAGGTGTGTTTGGTTTTGTCATAACTGGGCTTAATTTTAATTACCCTGTGACCTTTACTCTAACACACTGTTTATGCTTTCAAATGTTAGCACTGCATTCTTCATGAATTAATATCAGCAGTTTCAGGTAGCATCTGGTGGTATAACTAAACACTTGAATGAAAGTTTATAGTGTCTTGTTTGATCATCTGTGGTGAGAATTGCCTCTAAATAGAAATGAGAACACTTTATAAGTGGAACAAATATTTCTCCCTTTTTACTTTTAGTCCACCAGTACCGAGGCAGAGAAGATAATAGCAGTAGAAGCTTGTTTGATAAATTTTCTGTCTTCCAAGCTACGCTGCAGAGTAATATGTAGAAGAGGAAATAGAGCAAATAGGTTTTAGCAGGCAGTGCTTACATAAGTAATCAGAATATAGCTATTGATGTAAGAACTTCTTTGGCTTCTCAGTACTCAAAAGTTAATTTTTTAAAAATCATTTGCATCATTAAATATAGTAACTTAAGTTATTGGAATGCTTTTGAAATATTCATATTCCATATTCTTCCTAAATTGCAATTGTCTTGCTGTGTGTTGAATGATGAAAATTTGACCAATATATTGTAGGAATGTAAATGTTGGAAAGCAATATAACTTTCTAGCTATCAAGCTGTGAGACAAACTCCCCAATAACAACCAAATTTATTTCTATTCCTATTTATTAAAAGAAAGAAAAATTGTGTTATATAGTACCATATGTTATATTTATGAGATCTGAAGTTCTTTATATATCATTGTGCTTAACTGCATGATGAACTTTAAAATTATTATGTAGGGTTTTTTATTGTCACTATCTTAAGCATTGTATGTTCAGTGAAACAGAATAAATCTTTTATATTTATATTTCTCATCTGTGAGTTTTCTGTCTAGGGAAAGGTTAAGGCATAAGGCTAGAAACCAGGAGACTGTGAGTTCTAGCCTAACCTTAGGGACAAAGCCAGCTGGATGACCTTGGATTGGTCATTCTCTCAGCTCTAGGAAGTGGCAAATCAGCTCAGAAAAACCTTGCCGAGAAAACTGCAGGGACTTGTCCAGGTAGTTTCTGTCAATAGGATGAAATTGAACAGAAGAGCAAAAAAAACTTAAGTTGCTTTTTTGTGAGACAAAAGATAATAAGCAAAAGATTAATAAAAACTATGAACATTGAGTTGAAAAAAATATAATTAGGTGGAATATTTTATTTATTGATTGATTTTTCACATTTTTGATCCTCCCCCCTAATCTCTCTCAGAGAGGGACTCTGGATGGTGTACAATAAAGCACTAAAATATAAAAACAGCATATCATCATCATTTTCCTAGTGTTCCCACAGGCAAAGTGTCTGCTTTTTGGATTGACAAATGCCACCTTGCATGATCAAATGCAGCATCCTGATCATGTCAAAGAGCCGAGGTGGCGCAGCAGTTAGAGTGCAGTACTGCAGGTCACTTTAGCTGACTGTGTTCAGCAGGTCAGCGGTTCAAATCTCACCGGCTCAAGGTTGACTCAGCCTTCCATCCTTCCGGGATAGATAAAATGAGGACCCAGATTGTTGGGGGCAATGTAAATATATATATATATTTTACTTCCAATTTTACGCGGGAGAAAACCCGAACAACCAAAGACCTATATATATATACACATACATACATTGGTTACTAGTGTACACCGCTTAGAGAGTGCTTGCACTTAAAGCGGTATATAAGTCTCATAAATAAATAAATAAATGTCTGCATTTTGACAGAGATGGCTATAGATCATTGGTTGCAAAAAAGAAAAAAACCTGACTGACAGGCTTATTGCCTGGGTCTGACCTCGATTTGGTCTGTGCTCATCTTATCACTGCCCTAATAGGCTGACAGTATCCAGCAGCACCACTAGGAAAAGCAAACCTTTCTGCCAAAAATAAAAACAGCATATAAGAATTAAAAATGAAAAACAATTAGAATTTAAAAGGAAGCAAGGATGAACCCTGTTAAAAATTGGTTAAAAATGCGAAGGGAGAGTTCTCAGACGCCAACCAGGTCCACAACTGCGGGTCCCTCTGGGGTCCCCCACGCAAGAGTGCAGAGCCATATTTTAACTCCTTTTCCAGAAGGCCAGGAGAGGGGAGAATATTCCACAGGGCTGGTGTGACGGCAGAAAAGACTCTTCCTAGATTCTGCCAGTTGAAATTATTTAACTTAAGGCATCTGCAACATACCTTCCCTCCTGACCGGGTGGCATGGGTTACAACAACAACAATAATTGAGCATTGGGTTTTTTAACTGGAAAAAGAAGCCTATGAGCAGTCTATACCTGAAAGACATTGAAGGAAAGGTAGATACAAAACTAACAGGGAGCTGGTTGAGATCAGGAGTGCTGAAGAAAGAAACTGAAGGCTTCATTTTGGCTGCCCAAGAACAAATCTTGTAGACCAATTCCATGAAAGCAAAAATTCAACATGTCAGCAAGAACAACAAATGTTGCTTATGCAACATGGACCGCCTTATCAGTGGCTGCAGCAAAACCTCACAGACTGATTATCTACAATGTCATGATCGACTTGCCAACGTTATACATTGGAAGCTTTGACAAACGTTTAGGTTTGAATGCAGCAAAAATTACTGGGAACCACCAAATTGACAAGGTTCTTGAAAATGAGAGTCAAGATCCAGTGGAACTTTTGGATCCAAACAGACAGCCATCTGGCCCACAGCATGTCTGACATCACTATTGTGGAAAAGAAAAAAGTCTGGTTCATTGATATTGCAATACCAGATGATGCACTAATTGAAGAGAAACAATTAGAAAAGATAACAAAGTATCATGATTTGCAAATTGAAGTTGAGCAATTGTGGAGGA